AAAAAAAAAAAAAAAAAAAAAACCAGTCCTAGCTACTTGGAGGCATAGGTGGGAGGGTCACTTGAGGCCAGGAGTTCAAGACCAGCCTGGGCAACCTAGTCAGACCTCCTCTCTACAAAAAAAATGTTTAATTAGCCGGGTGTGGTGCCAGGTATGGTGGCTCACACCTGTAATCCTAGCACTTTGGGAGGCGGAGTCAAAAGGATTGCCTGAGTCCAGGTGTTTGAGACCAGCCTGAGCAGCATGACGAGACCTCATCTCTACAATAAATAAAAAAATTAGCTGGGCATGGTGGCGCACGCCTGTAGTTCTAGCTACCTGGAAGGCTGAAGCAGATCGCCTAGGCCCAACAGGCTGAGGCTGTGGTGGCTGTGAGCGTGCCACTGCACTCCAGCCTGGGCGACACAGTGAGACTCCAACTAAAAAAAAAAAAAAGAAATCTCTGGGCTTTGTACACAGTCAGTACTTAATAAATGAGGCGGGTTTCCTGAATGGGGCTGGTGCCACATTAAAGTGACAGACAGGAAACCCTGGACCTTCCAGTTTGGGGTATGACCCACCCAGTGTCTCTTGTGTTTATCGGTTCATTCATTCATTCAGCAAATGTCTCTGGGCACCTATTATGTGCCAAGGAACCAGGTGGGCAGGCCCCGGAGGAGTCACCCTCTCTCATCAGACCCCCAGGCTGGTGCAGGATTTGCTTACATGCCCCTGTGTTGGGGAGCTCACTCCCCACTGGCACCCCCAAGAGTGACAAATAGGGATGGTAGTATCAGATGCCACCCAGAGGGGCAAGTCCTGGGGTGACTCCCGCATCTGCGCCCAAGTCCAGCCCCGCCCCTGTGGCATGTGCCAGGTCAAGCAACCTGGGTTCCAATCCCACGCCCTTTTTTTGTTTTTGCTTTTGAGTCAGAGCCTCTGTTGCCCAGGCTGGGGTGCGCCGGCACGCTCACGGGGGCCCCGGCGTACCTGCTGGCCGCCGGGGATCCTCCCACCTCGGCCTTCCGAGGAGCCGGCACGACGGGCGCGCGCCACCACGCTGGGCTGGCTTTTTGATTCATCGCAGAGATGGGGTCTCACCACGTTGCCCAGGCCCGTCTGGAACCTGCGGGCCCGGCCCGCCCTCTCGCCTCGGCCCCCCAAAGTGCGCCCGGCCTTGTCA